ATATATATATATATATATATATATATATATATATATATTCCTTTGATCTCAAACTTCTTCCTATAACTGTAAAATCAAGGCAAAATTGCATGTCACCCATTGTCACCATTTTATCTTAATTGCCTTCACTGCCATTTATGGTCATTTTTAATCTTCTCTTTTCATCTCTTGTTTTGCTTTTCTTTTAACCCCTTTTCACCCCAAATGTCTTCAAACTCTAGAGCCAGCCGTTGGGTAACAAGGTTGAGATGGAGATCGCCAGCATACTGGAGAAAAACACAACGTTGTTGAAGTTTGGATATCACTTCACCCAACAGGGCCCGCGCCTTCGAGGTTCCAACGCCATGATGAGCAACAACGACCTGGGTGGGTGTTTCACACCAACATTCACACTCACGCTACATATCGTTTCAGAGGGAACTCATGAAGGAGTTACCTCGTTCTGCTCGAGCTGGCTTTGTAACCACAGCAATCTTTCAGTAGAGCAGCATTTGGCAGAGTCAGTTTATGTGTTTGTCAGCACTGCTGACACCTTATCTTCACCATATCTGCTTGGGTTCGACTTCAGTCGGCGTCTAATAGAAGAACGGCAGTGATATCATCGGTTGGTAACTCAGTGGGACCGCTGGAGAGAGCCTCCGCCAACAAAAACAGTCCCTTCCTAAGTTATGACATCAGCACTTCAGCAAGCCTGCTTACATGAGAGAGAACATAATGTAACAAGCAGAAGTGTTTTCTGCTCTGCACATCTATAGAGCAGTTTTATTTTCCCATGTCTCTGTGTGTCTGTTAGCAAAATATCACACATCTCATTTCACTGATTTTAATGAAACTCTCAGAAAATGAACATTAGGTGTACCTCTACAACTGTTTAACTTTTAGAGTCAACTCAATTGAAGTTGACTGCCACAGTAACCTGACCTCACAAAATTAAAACTGAGTATAACTCATTCAGTTTTAAAGATGCTGACCTAGTATTTGTTGTCGTTGTAGCTGAGACTGATTCCAAACATATATTCTGAGTGCTAACAGATTACACGAGATATTTGTTTAAAATGTCATTAAATGGTTTGTGTCATTTTTGTTGGACTCTTAGCAAAATATCTCACAAACCAATGCACAGATTTTGATGTTGTTGTTTTTTCCTGGAAATATTTATGGGATGTTTATCTACAACTAGACCTGTCACGATAACAAATTTTGCTGGGTGATTGTCTCAGAAATTTTTGCGATAAACGATAATATTGTTTGAAATTTGACAATAATTAATAATTATTGTCAAATTTAAGAAGAAATGTTTAATTTGTTTTGCATGTAGCACCTTTTTTTGACCACCGGATGGTAGTATAAGACTGTTTGAACCCAAGGATGGATATTGAGGGAGCGAGCAGCGTGTCAAGAAAAATGGGAGGGAGACCCCTTGACGTGACATGAACTGCCTCTCTTCAGTTCTCAAAATGGCAGACACTCTTTAGCATAGCATTTTTCACACAAAGCTTTTAATAAGAAATCAGTAAACAAGTTCTCATCTTCTTTTTGCAGAGAAAACCTTTTTAGACGAAGGCAAAGATTTCTACTGTGAATTTTGGAGCTTTTTGGAGTCGGCCTGTTAGCTTAGCTCGTAGCTTAGCATCTCAGCTTAGTAGTAGAAAGAGAGAGACACGATGAAACGATAAAGCCGATAAATGAAAATGAGGTCAATAATTTTCATTTATCATGCAATTAATTGATTTATTGTTTATCGTGACAGGCCTAGCTACAGCTACGTCACTTTTGAAGCCACCTCAATTCAAGATGGCCACCAAAGTCAACTGAATTTAGAAAACACAAAAATGATCATAACTCAGTCAGTTTTACAGATATTGAGTTAAAATTTGACGTGGTAGTAGCTGAGAATAGTTCACACCACGTTGTCTGAGTGTGAGGCTGCATGTTGTAACAAACAAGCTCTAACAAGCTTCACTTGAGGAATTTATCTGTCTTCCGTAAAGGTTCAGTTATTTTTGGTTGGGATTTATTAGTTGTTTTGTTTGTAGTGGTTTTATAATCTTGTCTGTGTTATGCTCCGAACAAATGTTTGTGTCATGATTGCTGATATTTCTTTCCCTTCACGCCCTCCTCGTCTTCAAGCCCGGGTGGTCAGGTCAGAGTCAGACGGCTCCTTCACCTTCACTCTGTCCGTTCCTGAACTGGAGAAAGCCTTCGGGAAAAAGTTCAAGTCCAAGACTAAGTAAAACAAAAAAAGCACAGCTGAAGCCCAAACACAGCAACGTTTCACTGCTCAGACGTCTGCCAGCAGCTTCTCCTGGTTCTTTTCTCGACTGTCAGACCCTCTGCTGCCTCCTGTCGTACTCCGCTGAGCGCTTCTGTTGCTCCTCTGCAGCACCTGCCAGCACTTCCTTACTCCTCCTTGGCTTTCTGGCTTTCAAAAGCTATTCAACTGTTTACTTACTGATGCAGTTTCTGGATGTTCAATCGGGTTTTTTGCTTTTCAGCAAAACTTTCCGAATTGAGTTGTTTCTTGCATCACTTCTCCACAGCAAATACACTTTTCAAAGCCTAAGAGATACTTCTTCTTGGATTATTTTATTCTCTGTTGGTGTTTTCCCATCCTTCTGTCCTTGTTATTAATTTAGCTCTGTCTTTTCAGGACGTCTTTTCATCCGTTCATTTCCACTCTTCGAAGCTGGATCGCCCTCTAGATAAAAAAAAAAAAAAAAAACAAGACCCAGATCCTCAAGAAAGAAAGATTAAGAAGGCTTGTTCATCAATTGTTTGCATTATAAAAATTACATTCTTTAAAACAGTGGTCCCAACCCTGGTCCTTGAGGAACACCATCCTGCATGTTTTAGTTATTTCTCTGCTCCAAAACACCTGAGTCCGTGATTTAATTACTTCAAGTTCTGCAGAAGTCTGTTAATCCCTCATTTATTCAAATCAGGTGTGTTGGAGCAGGGAAACAACTAAAACATGCAGGATGGTGTTCCTCAAGGACCAGGGTTGGGACCCTTTGCTTTAAAATGTTAATATGAGCTGAAACAGGATGATATTCAAAACAGTCCCTGCATTATTACCCAACCCTGAGTGTTTTCTAAATATCTGAAGAGTTCAGTCATCATTTCAGGTTTGAGCTCACATTTAAGCTCTTTTATGTTTTTGTACGTATTTATGATTACACCGATCCATATTTGGGTTGATTCATCGCTGTTCTTACAAGTGTCTCTTCCTTTTATTGTTCACTTTTGCAGTTGCCAGCTTTTTAAAAAAGTACTTCACCTTTTATTTTCTGCCTTTCTTCTATTCTTTTTTCCATGTTTATATTTTTTGTGTGATTAAAATATGGCGGACTAACTTTGTATCTCTTAATAAGATTGTCTTAATGCGCTTGTGTCCTTTTTTAAATTTGGATTCTTTTTATAATTCTGGATTGTTTTCTCCAATTTCAGTAAGAAAGAGAAGGCTTGAGGGAGGACCCATCTTTCCCAAGTGTCGGACAAATGTGTAGAAACCAGGTCTACCTTCAGTCTCCTCCAGTGACCCCCTCTCGTTAACCTCTCTCCCGCTGACGGTGCACTGCAACAGGTTCAGTTGTTTGGTAAATGTTAACGGTTTCTGTTGAAATCTGCAGCCTTCTTCAGAGCTCTCAGTGCATGCAAGAAGTGAGAATCATTTAGTTTTGTGCTCTGAAACTGCAGCTCTTTGTCTAAACTAACCAGGCAATGTGTGTGTCGTCATTTTCAATTCTTTTTGGTTTTGAATGTGGACCTGTTTGAAAGGTGTTGCTCACCTTAAGCCCCTCCTGTTTCTGAGAGTTAAACGATTATAATAAAACTGTGTTGCGATGGACTTGTGTTGGTAATACTGTTTCAAAAGTAAAAGCATCTTCTGTGAACACTGATGCAGAATAAGAAAAAAAAAGTTTAAAATATTGATCCATTAACACAAATCTAACGTTACGCCTAATATATGAGTCACACGATGAGATTTATAGCTTCTTCTGAAATGTAAAAAGTACCGTATTTTTTGCCGTATTAGTCGCACCTTTTTGCATAAATTTGCAAGTCCTGTGACTAATATATGTTTTTTTTTCCAAAAATATTTATAACCCAATATTTCGCTGAGATCTGATGATTTCATTAATTCTGACATGGAAAATATTGAATACTACCATTTTCAACCACTAGAGGGTCCTCAAGGTTTATGGCAAGCCAAGTGTCTCATTAATAGGTAAAAGTGGCTATTAATTACTTATTAATACGACTTATTTATGTTTTTTCCACTTTATTAGACATATTTGGACTGATGCGACTTATACGGTGGAAAGTACAGTAACCTGCCTACTGTATGATTCATGTGTACCATATTTATTTAATACTCAGTTATTTGAATAACTTGGATTACGTGTGCTTTTAAATTTTACCAGCCGACCCTATTGTCATGCTGGGAATGTTTTGTTTTATTTTATTTTATGTTTTTACGATATTCTATGAGCAATGCAAAGAAAGAACAACTCAGTGGTACAAGTGAGGTGTACAGTAACAACTCAAACAATGTACATGTGTTTGAATGTATTTGCTTTTAACTGGGTCTGGTTTGTTAATGGTTTGTGCTTGTTTGTGCTTACTGGAACAAAATTTATAAAAAAAATTATTATTAAACACATTTTGTCGTTGAGTTTAATCAGAGAGTCACCATCTTGCTTTTTGGTTTACAGGGATCTACCCTATAAAAAAAAACAGCCTGCTAATTCAGAATGTTTCTAAAAGATATTTAGCAGTGACGGGTCGCAACCAAAACCACTGAACACCTGAAATATGGTGTTAAACTACTAAACTTCAGCTTTGGATTCATGTTCTCAAGTACAAGTTGTTACCATCTTTGACAGCTTAATGTTGGACAAATTCTGCTGAGCATTGGGGGGGGGGGGGGGTTTTTTAGATTTTTTTTTCCTTAAAAATCTACAGCACAATAAAAAAAAAATGAAAGTGATGGTTATTATCTAACCAAGAATGGTGGCCTGTGAAGCTTCAGTATAAACTACAGATTATTTCTTGAACTTGATGGGTTTGGAGCTTATTGTTGCATTGATGCAGAAAGCTCTGCCTTTAGAGTTTGGCACGTTTGAGTCTGTACAAAGTTATTTTGTACCACTGCTTAATTACAAACTCGTCAGTGCTGTGTGTCATTCAACAAATCGTAATTATGGATGTAAACATTCGTAAGTGAATGTCAAAGATGACTCAAATCTTTACACTTTACTACTCTTCCTCTGCTGTGTGTGTTCTATTTTATTGCTTCAGTGTTGCTTATTTAGAATATGTTGTTGGTTAAATGTGTTAATTATTTTAATAAAGCTTAAAAACTGTCATTATCTGCACTTTTTAGTACATTTATATGAATGCTTTATTTCATTTGCAGAACCAAAAAAATAAAAAAACCTCTGGGTATATCACAGTGACACCCTGTGGTGAATAATGAGAAATAATAAAGTACTGTTTGTCCTGTCTGTCAAATAATGGAACTGCTTTACACTGAAAAACTGCTAAAAACTAGCAACAAAATGTAATATAACAGATGTGGTCTCTGAAGTTAAGGCTAGAATAAACAAATACATTATTCCCATTACTAGATTTAGTAAAGTAAACTGTCAAAATGTACAAACTTTACACCGGTATGCAGTGCATATAGAAATATTCACCCCCTTTTATGTTTTATGCTTTTATCACCTTCATAAATTAATCATGGTTAAATTAAATTGGACTTCTTAAAGATTTTTTTCCATGTCAAAGTAAAACCAAGTTTCTTCAGAGTAAATACCAATTAAATAAAAAGGTGTAACGTAAATTAAGGGATTGCATCAATATCTACTCCTTTGAAAGTGACTTTCCTAATGCAACTCAGAGAAAAGATTATTGAAAAGTACAAGTCAGGGGGTGGGTACAAAATTATTTATAAGGTCTTAAACCACCCCCAAGAGTTACCATACTATACCTTTCATTTACAATATAGAGCACCTTAAACACCCATGGGACCAAAGTGCTGTATATGTATTAAAACAGTCATACAATTAGTCAAAAATGTAATTATTCCAAACAGTCAACATCTCAGATGGTGTCAAAGGTCAGGGACAAGAGAAGGGATTTAAAAACAGACAGAGAAGAAGAGACCTGTCTGATGTCCAAGGGAAGGTCATTCCATAATTTAGAAGCTGCCACAGCAAAAGCACGGTCTCCTCTGAGCTTACGCTTTGTCTTCAGCACACTCAGGAGCAGAAGGATCAATAAAGTGTGTAGCAGGGATGTAGCAGCTCGGACAGATAGGGCGGGGCAAATCCATTAAGAGCTTTAAAAGCAATTTTTTAAATGAATTCTAAAATGTACGAGCAGCCAGTCCAGGGAGGCTAAAATGGGAAATGTGGTCAAACTTTTGTGTGCTAGTTAAAAAACGTGCAGCAGCATTCTGTACCCTCTGAAGCTGGGAGATACATGAATCACTGATTCCTTAATAAAGTGTGTTACAGTAATCAAGCTGAGTGTTAATAAAGGTGTGGATTACTGTTTCGAAATGCCACTGAGAAAGAATCGGCTTTACTTTAGCCAGCTGCCTCAAATGGATAAAACTAGATTTAACAACTGCGCTGATGTGATTTTCTAGCTTTAGTCCAGCATCGACTTTGACCCCTAGGTTTGTAATAGTTAGCCTTATGTACTGGGCCAAGGAAACATGTAGGGAGTCTCAGTGAAGCTTCCAAAGATTATCACATCAGTCTTTTTCTCATTAAACTTTAAAAAATTCACAGCCATCCAGGCTTTATGTCCTTCAGACATGAAAGTGGAGGACTCAGAGAGAGTTAGAGTCTTTTTTCTTTAGCGAGACATATATCTGGGTGTCATCCATGTAACAATGAAAGGAGATCCCATGTTTTCTAAAAACATAGCCAAGAGGGAGCAGGTACAGTGTGAAGAGGAGGGGGGG